AAAGGAGAAGCAGGGAGCTGCATTGTTTGTGAGTGTGAGCAGCAGTGGAAGAAGGGTGCAGTGGTAAGTGGTGGTTGAGGGTTTCATAAGTGAGTGGTGAAAGAGGGGGTGCAGTGATGAATGGTTGACAAGGTGATGCAAAGGCGAGCACTAGATAAGAAGGGTGTAGAGGCCAGGGGTAGATAAGGGGGGTGCAGAGATGAGCAGTGGATAAGAGGGGTTGAGAGGCGACTGTTGGATAAGGGGGGGGTGCAGAGATGAGTGGTTGACAAAGGAGAGTAGAAACAAGCAGTGGAAGAGGGGGTGCAGCGGTGAATGGAGGGTGGAGTGGTGCTGTGGTTGCAGAAGTGAGCAACTGGTGAGAGCTGCAGGGGAGCAAAGGTAGGTGGTGGAAGGGAGGCTAAGAAGTAACTGGTGGTTGTGGGCCTTGGTAGGGTTGCTTTGGAGAGCAAATGTTGCTGGTGATTGGTGGACAAGTGGGTGCCGAGTCAACAGTGAGCAAGGGGTGCAGAGGTTAGTGGTGGAAAAAGGGGGTGGAAGTGGAGTGGTGAATGGTGACTTTCTGAGGAAGAATTTTGATGGTGATGGATTTTTTGGCTTGGTTGGATGGCTCTCACTGGGGAGGTTTGCGGTAATTGTAGAAGGATTGTGTAATTTACGGTAAAGCAACAGTCAGAATTATATAAAATACTGTTTACATTATATTCTCCTGACTGCCATACTATTTATTCTTTGATGTATAGCACACACCCATTACTGTTGTATGCTACATACTTATGGCCACTGCACTCTGTATGTTAGAATGTACATTATATATGCCCAACACCTGCACTCTATATGCTAATAGTATTTATATCCCACTGAACAAAGAGTTCATTGTCTTAACAGTTTTTAAAACCAATACATACATACTTACCAACTATCCTGGATTTGCCAGGACAGTCCTGCATTCTAGTTGGTGATCCCACAATGTCTGTGTCCCGGGCGGAAACAGTGTTGTTGCCCACAGTCTGTCTTTGTTTTCTTTACAGACTTTCTCTAAAAATTAATCCAAAATGCTCAGTCTGTCATTAGACTGTAAGTGACTCTGCCTGTTTATGTCTGCCAGGTAAAACTCTGACTGTAGATGTTAGTCCGTTGGCATATGTGCAGAAAGCTGCCAGGTGGGTCCTAGTGAGCCCTGGGAACTTAAAAATTAACCAGGAGAGGGATTGCAAACATGCCGCCTGGCTCTGATTGGCTAATAATAGGCACTTTCAGTAAAGATCGGGAGTGGGTCATTATTGTTCTACTCAACTCATCCGTGTTCAGGGGATTTTCTGAGAAGATGAGCCAGCTCTTGGAGTCTCAAAGTGCTAGTTACGTTAGAAGATGAAGAATAGAAGCCAATCCCTTTACTTTGTCACTCATGTTGAAAATATGATGGCAGTTACTAATGCTTCCTGAGCAGAGGGAGTGGTGGAAGTTCTGTGCATTCCTTTGCTGTGTGTTATGTTTCCTTCCTCTAATCAACTAACTGCCCAGTCCTTTAATGAAAGCAGTGTTCCTTGGTGTCACTCTAAGTCTCTGAGTGAAGGGGTCTCTCTGTCTCTATCCATCCATCTCTCTCTCAATTTGATTCAAATAAGCTTTATTGGTGGAACCAAATACATTTTTGTCCCACAAAAAGAGAGGAATTAAATGTATGTACACCAACGCTAGAAGTCTGGCAAATAAAATATATGGCGAGGTTTTATGGGATGGATGGGTGGCGGGGGGGGGGGGAGTGGAACATTGTTAGGGGTAAAGAATGATATGGGGGCAGTAGGTAAGTCCAGGGACATTATCAGGGGTAAGGTATAATATAAAGGGGGATGGGGTGAGTCCATGCTGGGGATTTATAGGTCCAGGATCTCTCATGTTAATCTCAGTCGGTGACATACAGTGACGTATTGTGCAGATATTTTCACCGTCGGCTCCTCTTCTCCCAGTACAATGTGGAATCTCCTCTTCTCCCAGTACAATGTGGAATCTCCTCTTCTCCCAGTACAATGTGGAATCTCCTCTTCTCCCAGTACAATGTGGAGTCCCCTCTTCTCCCAGTACAATGTGGAGTCCCCTCTTCTCCCAGTACAATGTGGAGTCTCCTCTTCTCCCAGTACAATGTGAAGTCTCCTCGTCTCTTCTATAGAGGTGAAGTCCGGGATGAGAGCGAAGAGTCTCTAGAAGTGAGTGTCCCTCAGTGCTGAATACTTGGGGCTCTGTAGGAGGAAGTGGACCTCATCTTCCAGAGCCCCCTGGTCACACTGCTGGCACTCTCTCTCTCTCTCTTTCTCTCTCTCTCTCTCTCTGGCTTGCTCCACCTCCTTAATTTAGTAGGAATGCTTTTTGTCTAGCCTGGCAAACCAGACCGCCATACAAATGTAGCTTTCCTTTGCAAAAAGTTGCTTAGCTTTTGACAAATTACATATATTTTTCCCCACATGAGGATTGGTGTGGCGCTCATACTGTTTGTTTTCCCTACATGACGATTAACGTAGCACTCATACTGTTTTCCCCACATGACGATTAGCGTTGCACTCATACTGTTTTCCCTACATGACGATTGGTGTGGCGCTCATACTATTTTCCCTACATGACGATTGGTGTGGAGCTCATATTGGTTTTTCCACATGTTAGAAATCCATTGTTGTCCAATGTCCTGTGTGCTCTGCAATGCTATATCAAACAGTGTTATCAGCCCTACCTAGTTTCTCCATGTCATGGGTGATCGAGGAGCGCCGGGCCTAAAGGCAAATATAATCTGGTGTATTTCTTCTTTTGTACTAAAAGAAGAATTCTAGGTAAACCAGATAAAAATGTATACAATCGATAGAAGGAGGTAACTAAAACTAATCTTATCCGGAAAAAGTTATATACATCTCGGAGACCAAATACAATAATATATGAACGCCAGACACAAATAATTCTACCTAAAGGTACAAATAATGATAAAACAGTAAATGCATAAAATTAAATGAATAAAACAAGCAAATAAATAAATAAAAGAGAGAGAGAGATAAACTTGTGGCACTCTCTTATCCTTTACACTTTCTTCAGTTTACTTATGTGGACTACTGGGAACCCCCATGTTGTGAATATGAGAAGAGAAGGAGATGTTCAGTATCCTGCCCTAGTGTCTCAATGCTGCTCCTGCAGATACAATACAGTGAGTGAGTGTTGTCACCCTAGGACAGGAAGTGTGATCCTGGCAGGATGACTGGGTAAAAATAAAGGGGGAAAA